GCTTTATTCGTTGCACTGGTTACCTGTACGATACAGGTCGCAGTACAAAATTCTGGTATACACATACAAGGCACTGAATGGAACAGCTCCTCAGTACCTACAGGAACTTGTTACCCTGTATCAGCCGTCAAGATCACTGCGGTCGGAGTCAGAATCTTTGTTGTGTGTCCCAAAATCTCGTACTGTGACCTACGGAAACAGATGCTTTGGGAGGGTTTCGGCTACGTTGTGGAATAGCTTACCATCTGCTATTAGGAAGTCGAATACCCTGGCCAAGTTCAAGAGGGACATAAAAACTCACCTCTTCACGTCTGCATTTTAGAATCTGTGCAAAGACGTCATGTAAATACCACCCTTTTATTTGTTCATTTATGTGCACATTGCTTGTTAAAGGTATGAAAGTGATTGCAAGCCTTTGTTGTTTGTTTTCACAATTATAACCATTACTATTATCCATATGTTGTAAAGCGCCTTAGAGTAATTCTACAAATTATATAGGGCACTTTATAAATGCTGTATATTATTATTATTATATCTATAGAACAAAGGTATCACTGACCTACATTAACATAGGACCAAAATACCATTTAGTGGGTACCTACATTAACATAGGACCAAAATACCATTTACTGGGTACCTACATTAACATAGGACCAAGTATCAAGTATCACAACATAATCCTACAATCAAGTATCACAGTCTACATTATCACCGATTCAAGGTACACTAACAATATCATAGAACCAATATATCATTAACCTTAATCACTAGTGAACCAAACTATCACAAACCTACATACATTACTAGAGAAGCAAAGTTGTATTATGTAGGTAATTCTGAAATGTCTCTGAAGACGAGTGTAATTCATTACCAAACCAACAGCATGCAGTTCCATGGTTGAGGTTGTTCACTAAATTCTATGTCTTTACCTATCATCAAAAAAACCCAACACAGTAGTAAGTTTAACATACCTTAGGTAATACATTTTATTTCTCTCAAAGTTGTAAACAACCATTGTATAGGTTAATACAGTTATATGTACAAGGTATTATTTTAAAATTTACATCATGATCTGTGCATTAAAATATTCAAGAAACCCTCAATTTTTTACCATTATTAAAACTGACTTACACAAACAACAGACTTTCAAACATCCACAGCTTAATTGGGAGTTCTCGCCCATTTGTCTTCCCACAATTATGCATATATTGGCTATATTGTTGATGCAATTGATATAAAACTATGTCAAAGAAATGGTTAAATAAACGATACGAAAAGCAACTTCCAGGTACTGCTTGCCTTCACCTCAAGGTCCAATACTCAGTCACTGCATATAACACCTCACATAATACTACTGTACCTCTACTGGTGTATCGCCAACAAGTAGATTGGTTGTTATTTATTTACACTAGTTCTGTCAAATATATGCAATATATTACCACTGTGTGGCATTGCCAATATGTAATTCTACCAAAACACAGATGACCATTACATTGTATAGAGCAATGGATGGTAAGGCCCTATTGTTGACATTATTAGTGTGTTATAATTGTACCATTGGACACCACCAATCATCCTTGGATGATGACTGCTCCATCTAATAAACTGCACACTACCCACAAATCATTTTTTAGATCAAAGTACTTCAAAAATGGTAAATATAAGTATTGAACTACCTTTTGTTGGCATTCAGTCAATACGAATGCCAACTAGAAATGACAAATTCAACAAGAAGTGCTGGTATGCTACATCACATGGAATTTGTCATTTTCAGTTGTTATTTATATTGACTATGAATACCAACTGTAGCAGTTGAATGATTAAATGACCAGATTGATGAGGGATGCACACACTAACTTTGGCAGTTTTTACAATTTGTTTCTCTTAGTAAATACTGTAAACATACAATTATTGGATGTTATATGCACTAAACAAGATGGCAGTTTATCCTGGTCACACACACTGACTTGTGCTTTTCATTTTTATTTTTGAACATGAGTACAAACACACATGAAGGTCAGAGTAAGATGAAAATGAGTACTTCTTGGTTACAAGGCATAATTTCTACTTCAAAATAATAAAAGGTATGACAGGGCAATCTTCTCGGATTCTAAAGCATAAACCACTAGAATCTACTCACAGCCGAACACAAATTACACCTAACTCACATAGCACTGATAAGCATAACACAACATATTGATACATCTTTTTAATTATGCAATGTATGAGAAAGTTTGATATTGTACCACTATGGTACACTCTATTGATAATCTATCTTTCGTTGGGTGGGCACCTGCTTTTTTCCAGTATGTAGCTTTTCTCCAACCATCTAGGAACAGGGAAATATTACCTTAGGATTAGGAACATACCACTAAAAGGTCTCAACAATTATTTTGGGAGGTTTCCATTAATACTGATATGTTTATCTCAGATGGAGTTGTAAACCAGATACAAATTTAATTCTCATTCATGTTTGTACAAATACAGTGGCTCTGTCTAAAATTGACATTCCAGCAACCAAATAATTAAGCCAGTTTCCAGTATGTTCCAAATGGTTGGTCTACTTTAAATTCATTGTCATTGTTGGAACAAAATTCTTTGTCTGATGATCATCTAGATCAGACAAACTGCTATAATAGAGTTCAAGCAGTACAGAAACCTACATAAGGTCGACAATATCTCGAGACATAATTACACATGTACCAAACCGGGCACCATAGCAAAGAACGAGTTATAGGTCACTAGGCTTCTGATTCCTGATCTACTGTTTCAGTAAACATCTGTAACAGATATGAATCTTTTCAATCATTCAATTTCACATAAGAATATTATACTATTCTATTCTCAAATTCTCCATTCCAAGCTCAAGAACACATTATCCTTCAGTAAACAATAAATAAACAACAAGATTCTCCGAGGATGCTGCCTATCGTTGTGTAGGGCAATATGTACAAGGTCATAGGTCATATTGGTCAAATACAAATGTAAAAATATGGCTGGGTCACATGATGGCGGCACATTTGACAAAAGGTCACCAAAAAGTAACTTTAAAATCTCAAAGGTCTGTATTTCTACAGGTTCAAATTCTGATAAATTCCCCTTTGTTTTCACATGGTACAAACAACGTATTTGTGAATCAATGTTACCTGCAACAACGTCGTGATGGGAGTGCCATCTTGGTTTACGTTGATTTGTATAGTTTTGTTTTGATTACTTATTGGGTATGATTTGAATTTAGAGTAAAACTTTCAGGTTAGCTGATGTGAAAATTAAGTTGAATGCATAACATTGTTTTTTTAACAGGAATTCTGTGAATTCAACCACAGCAAAAAGGACCTTCACAACGATCAAAACAAAAACAATATTGAAACAGATTGCACAAATATCACACAGTTCATAGAATTCATTGATTAACAAACCTAAATACTGAATCCCAAAATTCCTTCTCATACAATGACTACTACATTTACCTAACACTAAAAACTCTCGACAGTTCAATGTTACATGGAAATGCAGTCAATCTGTCCTTTGCAGCACTTATTTTTCATACAATTATGATCATAGAAATAGAAGTGTCAGTATATTATTTTCTCTTTGCAAAAAAGGGTTGCGGTGCTTTTACGCTTGGTCAATTTTCAGTCGTTTTCAACAAAATGATAATCTCCCAACTTTCAATGCTCTAGAAATGTCTACAGTCAAGCATGTAGCACAAGGAAGCTGATTCCAATTCTGGTGCACAATGGATACTGGAACCAGTCCCTGATATCCCTAGAGGTCCATCATCTGTATCACAGGGCTTTAATGCAGTACTCAAGGCACTTACACTATGATATGCTTTGTTTCAGTTGTCATCTTCATCATCTGTGTCATCATCTCCCAAATCATCATCATCATCATCCTCTTCCACCTGAATTAGAAATCAAGATCAATCAGACAAAGGCATTACAGACAATATGAAAACCCTCACAATTGTGGTGGAAATAACTGTTTAAAAGATTATGTTTGTGAACATGTATGTGAATTTTCATACAGAAAATGAAGTCTAAAGCAACTAGAACACTGACAGGTCAGTAAGGGCCCCGTCTTGTGGCAATATATCCCCCATAATCATCAAGAAGCAATCTGCCCATATAGCTGAGCTTGACGTTTGACATTTGGACTTCAAAAAGAATCGCAAGGAAGCAAAATATACATTTTACATGTACTATGATGTGAGTCTTGTTTCCTTCCACCTCCATATTTGCTGGGCTAACAGAAATGTAAATACCGCTGCAATACTCATTTGTTAGCTTTGATTTGTTTTATTTCAACTTATATACCCTCCTCCATCAAGAGCCAGGGTCAAAGTCAGAGATCCACTTTGTCTTTGACCTTTGGACTCAAATGACCTTGACCATTAACCCAGTGACCTTGACCTTTGACCCAGTGACCTTGACCTTTGGTCAATTGACTCCTTGTTTAATTCTGACCAACATTGCTGCATAATATCATAACAAAATTTGACTGTGACTTTTGACCCAGTGACCTTGACATTTGGTCAATTGACTCCTTTGTTTAATTCTGAGCAACATTGCTTCAAAGTGTCATACCAAAATGTTCACCAGTGAAAAGATACAAAATTTAACCTTGACCTTTGGTCAGGTTGACTCCTTGTTTAGTTCTGATCAATTTTGCTTCATCATGTCATAACAAAATGTTCATCAGTGAAAAGATGCAAAATTTGACCTTGACCTTTGAATCTGATGACCTTAACCTTTGACCTTGACTTTTTACCTCAATGTTTTTTTTTGTGAACTGAACATCTTGACCAAGTTTCATAAGCATCGGTCAATAAATACCAAAGTTATCAGCCAGGAACAAAATTTGTGGACGGACAGACAGACAGACAGAGTGATTACTACAGGGCACCCGTATCTCCCATACAGGGCCCTAATGATGTCATCAAGGACATGTTTTGTTTAGAGTTGAACTGAAGTCCTCACAACAATTCAAGGTCATAAACAGAACTACCTATGGAGACACTGCCAAAGACAAGGCCATGTATGTATAGACAGATCCCAATATACCCTCAAAGATAAAGTTAAGATAAATTACTATAGTGGCCATTAAAAAAGGTTAAAAATTCAAACTTTTCTGCAAATTTTAGATTTTAATAGAGACTTGCAAAAGTCCTCATTATGGAATGTAGATAATCCAAGTACAGGACAGGATTTAATCATGCTAAAAACTAACAGCATTAACTAGGGGAATGGGATTGTAAAAAAAACATCTGTACAAATTGAACCAATTTGACACAAAGTAAACTTGGTTTACGGTCATGTCAGTCAACTACAATCCATGATAGCCATATTGGATTTTTAATCTGGTCAAATGCTAATTGCACAGTTACTCCAAATCACTTTACTGTACAACGGAACCATAACCATGAAGTCTAAACCAAACTAAATAGTATTTGAATTTTTAAACTCATGTTTAAAATAAAAGCAATAAGTTTACTCAAGTTTACTAGAGTAAAACAAATCTAGAAGCTTTTAACTAAATCAGCTTGTATAAAATTTGATTGATAGCTATATCCAATGTACATCTTAACCCACTACATAGTCATCATTCAAGTTACATAAAGTTTTCAGTTGCTGATAAAAAGTGGAGACCCCACAATGCAATTATCTTTAAAGTTGTGAAATTTTGTATTAAATTATTCTACACAGAGATGAGATTTCGAGCACAGACCCGTTTGACTTGTAATTAATGTTGATGTCTTCAGTATCTTTAGCCAGCTATTAAACCCCACTCATACACCTCTACAGGCCAGTAACAACAGTAGGTAGGTATCTCTCACCTGTTCCCCAAGATCTTTTAACCTGGTCCTATATGTGTCTATTTTGGTGTCCTGATCTGCCAATAAAACTAACAGATCTTCCTGTTCCTTTTTAAGGTTATCTAATTCTTCTTCGACCTCACTCTTATCCTTAGCAACGTGTTTGGTCTCCTCTTGAGCTTTCTGGAAAAAAGGTCAACATGGTTAAAATTGCAGACAACATCTATATATGACAAACCTGACCTTTGGCAATGGCACATTGACCATTCACCTGCAAGCCACTTGGCATCAGTGCTCGAAATATTACTTGTTGTCTACAATCAAGAAACAAATACATGTATTTGACCGTTGTGACCTTCACCAATGACCTTGACCTTGCATCAGAGAAATAGCGATAACAAATGTTGACCCTGAAATCATAAAAGTAATGTTTCTCAAGTGAAATGTGTGTACAAAATGACAAAGATCTGTCTTGTACTTTTTGAGAAACAGTGATAACAAACTTTGATTCTGAAACTAAGATGGCCACCTGGTTGCCATATTGTTTGTCACATTCACAAACAGAAGTCTTGGCTCACAACTAGGACCAAATAGGAACCTGTGTATGAAAGTTGACAAAAATCTGTCGATTCCTTTCTTAGAAATAGTGGTAACAAGCATTGTAAACAGACGCAATCATTTGTGATTTGAAAATATAAATGTACACATATAATACACATTGTAAAGCAAATATGTAACACGTCCAATACTCACATTAACTTTGTCTATAAGATTCAGATTTTCTTCATTGGCCTTTGTAAGTCTTTCCTGTAATGCCAGTTTTTCACTGGAAATCTTTTGAATTTCTTCCTGTAATAACACTGTATCTCCTCCTCCAGCTTGACTTGAATTTTCGTTTTTAATGTTATTCTATAATGAAAATGAAATTGATATATGATTTTAAAGATAATATTTTACCTCAAACAGGCTTGAAAATTGCATGCTCATCATTGGATGTCTATATTATTGAATATTCACAACTATTTATTACATGAAAAAGTATTAGTAAATGTCATATCTTTATCAACGATACATTAGCAGGCTTGATAATTCCAGTTCTATTGTTGTATTATGAACATTTAAACCAAATTAGTTACACCTACTCCCATAACATGAGAGGCCGCTGGTCGGCCTTTTTTCAATCGGATATGATTTTGCCGACTGCGACCTCTCATTTCCGAAGCACTAATTCTTTGATGCAGTTTCCGCCCGAAATCCGGGCGGAACAAAATCGGCTTGAAAAACTCACATAAGTGGTTAACAGTTCATGACAACGATGTCTACTCACGGTTTATATAATATAGATCTCATATATATGTCACAGACACAAATATATAGTATATTACGGAATAGAACACTCAAAATACATGTCCATGTCGTTGTAGCACATCTCTGACCTACATTTAAAACATGGCTTCTGGATTAATACAAAATATCAGGGGGGATTTCAAACGGAACGAAATGATACGGAGTTTGTTTGTATTCCGCTTGTGAAACATTACATGTAATCCATTTTTGTATTAACCGGAAAAATCATGGCAAATGCTGTCTGCTTCGCTTCGAATGAGGAAAAACTCATTATTTATGTCTTTGACATGAAATTTTTCTCATATAATCATGGATTTATGGAAAGGATTATTTATTGGACCCTTTTGACCATTTAAATGTATGTAAACACGATATGCTCTTTCTTAATCAGAACTTTGAAAATGTGATTGTCAGCATCGGGAAAATCAGCTATGGGCAGTTAGAGGTTACGCGGCGCCTGTCAAAAGTTTTTTGCCGTGTAAAACCTCTAACATTGTTGGAGTACGGTTACACCCAGGTATATAGTGCCCATATATACTCTAGTTTACTGCTGATAGGTCTAGATTTTATATGCTTTGGTCTATGAGTGGCTATCCAAAGCCTGGGTTTTTAAAACAAATCTGCCCTTATGTGGGACATATACGTATACCAGTATCTAGCTGTCATCCACTGTATATACTTACCAGATTGTCTATCTGTCGTTGTGCTTCGTTGTGCTTGGTAGTGAGTCGGGAGACTTCAGCATCCCTCTCCTTCAACATGTGCTGGGCCTCCTGTAGGTCACACTTGATTCTGTTGACTGTGGCCTGTAAGACAGCTACCTCACTGGGGTTGTTCTCCTTGTCCTCCTCCCCGTCTGTCTGATAGGCCAACACCTTGGCCTCGGACACCGTCAGGTCTCCTTTCTACAGGAAACCAATATAAATTGGTCATTCAGCAGGATTTGATGGTAGGCAAGTTATAGGATATTACAGTACCCACATTTTTCATTACCAGGACTGATAGTGATATGTATATATTTTTCATTCACATGGCCATACTACTGTAACCAGAAAGAGGCATAACTGCCATAAATATAATAAAAATTAAAAATAAATAACTAGCACACAACTATCTAGAGTATTGATAATGTGGACAAAGCTTCATGAATATCGGTCAAGAAGGGAGGGAAGTACTAGCAGAAGGATTAGGAAAATATTCTTGTAACACAACCAATAAGTGTTTCTATGCGACGTTTCGATGACTAGTACAGTATGTACAGTGTCACCTTCATCAGGCAAATGAAGGATGAAGGTGACACTGTACATACCATACTAGTCATTGAAACATCACATAGAAATACTTATTGGTGCGTTACAAGAATATTTTCATAATCCATAACAACCTGAAGAAAATGTTACTAGCAGAACGGGCATTACTTCAAAAGACATTGTTTGATCAAAATATTTATTGCAGAGGTACAACTTACAGAGTGTGTTGACTCATACCTAAGGAGTTATTTTGTATCATGATTGTTTGGGGGTGGGGGGGGGGATTCTATATCCTTACCAGTTTTTCTATTGCCGTTTCTTTTTCTGATACATATAACTTAAGCCTTTCTAATTCTTCCTGTATGTTTCTGAGGTCATCTTCTTTCTTTGTATCTAAAAATGCTCCTTGAGAACCTTAAAAAAACAAATACACATTTACAAAATAATTTCCAAACACTGCCATATAAAAATATGATTTTCTGTTATTTCTTGTGCTAAATAAGTTAGCCTTTTATTTGTTTGATATTTGAAAAACAAATCGCTAATCTCTGGATGCCTGTTGTAAGTAAGTTTAATCATGTAAGTACCTTTTTGAGCCTTGAGAAGTGCGTTCTGATCCTTCAGCTGTTGCACCTGTTCCCGTAGATCACTTAATTGACCTGTGGATACCCCATTTTGTGAACGTAACAGCTCCAACTCTTGACTCACACTCTTCAACTGTGTGTCCTTCAGTNAAATGTAAAATGTTAACGGACGACGGACGACGGACGACGGACGACGTACGACGGACGACGGACGACGACGGACGAAAACGGATAGCAATAGGTCACTTGAGCTAAAGCTCAGGTGACCTAAAAATGTTTTGCAATATGAAGTTCAACAGAAAATCATTAACTCTATTTTGCATAAATGTTTTTATCGAAAAAATGAATACATGGCTTTATAAAGCATTTTATAAGTCTGTAAAATATTGAACTAGTAAAGTTTACAGAAAATTTTCAAAGTTATATATAAAACTTGAAACATAAGAATTAAATGAATAGTAATCTATTCAATGAGATATCTCTCTATCTTAGAAATTGATAGAATTACAAAATTTCATTGTAGCTGATTTTTTTTTTCTGTTTTCGTACCAGGTATTAGCAATTTTGTATTTCTATAATAAAATTTATGCAGAAAAGTGTAAGTGACATCTTTACCTGTTCTTGTATGAGTTCTTTGTATTGGTTAACAACTTTTTCATGTTCCTGCAAATTGGCAATTTTCTGTTTGTGTTCTGCAGCATTAGCATTAGGCGAGACGGTATTTAAAATATCAACTAAAAATGGAAAATAAAATTTTGTTGATTTTCAGCGTGGTAACAAGTTTTGCAATGTTTAAAAACTTGTCAAATCATTGGTAACATATACCAGAGTCAATATATACTACTCTATAACCCTGCTAATTGCTTTGGTTTGGTTTGTTTATGTTTTATGTCCTATTAACAGCTATGGTCATTTAAGGACGTGCCAGGTATTGGTGGTGGAGGAAAGCCGGAGTTCCCAGAGAAAAACCACCAACGTACGGTCAGTACCTGGCTACTGCCCCACGTAGGCCTTGAACCCGCAACCCAGTGGTGGAGGGCTAGTGGTAGCAGAATGTCAGACGCCTTAACCACTTGGCTACCGCGGCCCCCTGCTAATTGCAACTTTATCGAGCATATGAACTGTGTCATTAAAAAGCAATTGTTTACACATGCCGTCATATCATCAGGTAATTATGAGGACATACATGTAATAACAACCCAATGTCAGAAGTAGCAGTTCTTTTTATTGCAATTGACAGATCCTATAAAATACTTTATACAGTACCTCAGTGTCCAGTACATGCAACTTGATTTGAACTGCTTTCATTTAATATAAATCTGTGGTCTAAATGATTTATATTCAAGCCCAAAATAACAAAAAGCTTGAGCACTAGTAATCACTGTTTCTAACCTGCTATAATTTGTAAGCAAAAAAAACTCGTATTGAGATAGTAAATAGCATTTACATTTAAACAAAAACAAAACAAAACAAAAAAATGTTATCAATAACTAGACATTTTAGTTGCTTTGCACCGATTTGACCCAGAGGATAATGTCCCTGTGACCTTATCATAGTTCTTGGCAAACCTTCTCTGGCTAAGGCAGGTATTGTCTAAGTTTCATATGAATCAAAATTGTACAGCCCAGACAAGATTTCACTTAAAAGTTTGCACTTCCTGGCATCCCCCTGGTGAGACTGTTGACCTGGAGGTGGAGGTCACTGTAACCAAATTACAATATACTGTACACCTATGGCTAATGCAGGTTTACTCAAGTTTCATCAAGATATCATTTACACTTTTAAAGATATATCTGTCTATAAGCTTTATGTGCAGCCCCCAAGAATGCCAAAATAATAAATCTTCAATTTTTATAACTGAACAAGTCACTACTTTCGAACCTTAATAAATTTCCTTGAACTATAATTACTTTTGTTTTGTTGTGTATAAAAAATCTTATCGATGCAAGAACACTTACCTTCTAGGGATTTAAATATTCTAGTGAATTCAAAATCAAACACCACCTCACTTGGGTGTTTGTAGGTAAAATTGGGTTTTTTAGCTGCCTTTGTGTAGCTCTCATTCTTTGGTATTTGTGTTAACTTGTCAGAAAATGATTCTAAACCAATTCTCTTCTCTATTATCTGTCGTAAAGATGCTCTGAAAATCAAACAAAACTGTACTGTACTGGAATGACTGATTAAACATCACACACAAACAAAGCTTTGTCTTTTTTCATCAGGATTTTTAACCAGTAGTTCTGCATTGCACTGTGTAAAGGGACATCAGAACAAAATTATTGTTGTAGTTGAAATACACCATTTTTTAAAGCCATTATTTGAGCACATGCTTCAATATTTTTTTAATACATGTATCAGGAAAAGCAGATCAAAGAAGAAAGAGTTTCGATAATAATTTACTAAAAAGTAAGTATAGAAGCTCGGGATAAGTCAAGTTTAATTTATTGGGAAACGGTTTCACCCGAACAGTGAGCTTCTTTAGGAGTGATAATTTAACATTCATTTGACATGTATAGAGATAGCTTACCTGTTAAATGTTTCATTTTGATCATCATTATCAAGGACACATATTCCGAGTAAAAATGAGCACAATCCCTGGACTAAGGTTTCGTTCTCATCACTCTCCGAGGCAGACACCTGGGTTATCAGCTGTATATATTGTTAAGAAAACATTAACAAAAGCATACAACATTATTTTTCTGTGTTAGGATATTTTAAGCAAATATTAAAAATTTCCTTTCATCTTTTATTGATCTGTTTAGTAATAATAAATTTTGACCCCAAGAACTTCATCAACATATTAAACATGTACCTGAACCAATATCAAACAAGAGGCCAATGGATTGGGTACTTAATGCTCTTCATTTAAATCCAAACACATTGCATATAGATGCCTGGAATCCACTTTATGATCTTTTTATTTTTTGCATATACTTAAGTTTCTTAGATCCTCTTGAGTTTGCAATAACCATTTTTACTGTATAACCTGAATATGTTTGCCCTGTGAAAGTTTCATTCTCAGTTTTTTTTAAAACAAATCTGCCCCATGTTGATTTTGGCATCTTGTTATTTCACAATTGTGTAAATGGACAAATTATCATGTTTGCCCATCACATTAAATATACCCTCTCATTCAATTGCAGAAACAAAATGGGTGCAGCAATTTCCAATTTTTACAGTAGATTTTTTTTCCATTCAGGTCTGACAGGACCTTGCAAAATTTGATATTTAAGGATACAAATGGTATGTTGGCCGTGTTAGTGAGGAAGTGGGCCACGACGATTGGACAGCTAGACATCCACCCACACATCAGCATCAGCAGCCCAACTCGGGTCTGGATCTTACCACCCTGCAAAAACACAATCAAGTCATCATCTGCCAACACACAACAGACAACCCACCATCTAGACATACAGTCATCATTCACACACAGTCATCATTTAAACGAACCATTCTACAAACAAAGTCATCATCTGTTTACAGACTTTACATACTTATCATTCATCCACAAACTACAGTAACCACCCATCCACAAACTACAGTAACCACCCACAAACTACAGTAACCACCCCCCCAAAAACTACAGAAACCACCCACCCACAAACTACATTAACCACACACCCACAAACTACAGTAACCAACCATCACAAACTACAGTAACCACACACCCATAAACTACAGTAACCACCCACCCAAAAACTACAGTAACCCCCAACCCACAAACTACAGTAACCCCCCATCCACAAACTACAGTAACCCCCCACCACAAACTACAGTAACCCCCCATCACAAACTACAGTAACCACCCAGCCACAAACTACAGTAACCACCCCCCCCACAAACTACAGTAACTACCCACCCACAAACTACAGTAACCGCCCACACACAAACTACAGTAACCACCCACAAACTACAGTAACCACACCACCACAAACTACAGTAACCACCCACTCACAAACTACAGTAACCACCCACACACAGACTTTACATACTTATCATTCATCCACAAACTACAGTAACCCCCCATCACAAACTACAGTAACCACACACCCATAAACTACAGTAACCACCCACCCACAACCTACAGTAACCCCCCCACCCACAAGCTACAGTGACCACCCTCCCACAAACTACAGTAACCACCCTCCCACAAACTACAGTAACCACCCATCACCAACTACAGTAACCACCCACCCACAAAATACAGTAACCTCCCCACCCACAAACTACAGTAACCGCCCCACCCACAAACTACAGTAACCGCCCACACACAAACTACAGTAACCACCCACTCACAAACTACAGTAACCACCCACACACAGACTTTACATACTTATCATTCATCCACAAACTACAGTAACCCCCCATCACAAACTACAGTAACCACCCCCCCCCCAAACTCCAGTAACCACCCACCCACAAACTCCAGTAACCACCCACCCACAAACTCCAGTAACCACCCACCCACAAACTCCAGTAACCACCCATCCACAAACTACACTAACCACCCACCCACAAACTACAGCAACCACCCACCCACAAACTACAGAAACCACCCACCCACAAACTACATTAACCACACGCCCACAAACTACAGTAACCACCCTCCCACAAACTACAGTAACCACCCCTCCACAAACTACAGTAACCACCCAGCCACAAACTACAGTAACCACCCCACCCACAAGCTACAGTAACCACCCCCACCCACAAACTACAGTAACCAGTCATCATTTAAACGAACCATTCTACAAACAAAGTCATCATCTGTTTACAGACTTTACATGCTTATCATTCATCCACAAACTACAGTAACCCCCCACCACAAACTACAGTAACCACCCCGCCCACAAACTACAGTAACCACCCAGCCACAAACTACAGTAACCACCCCGCCCACAAACTACAGTAACCACCCCTCCACAAACTACAGTAACCACCCATCAACAAACTACAGTAACCACCAACCCACAAACTACACTAACCACCCCACCCACAAACTACAGTAACCACCCACCCACAAACTACAACAGCCTTACTCATGAAATATACACATGCATGGTATTCAATGGAAAAAACATTAAGTTTTCTATTTATTTTATTTTGAACTACCTACAATGTTGACAATGTTACTGTTTCAAAGCAGTCAGGGATATATTAAATAGCGCATTCTTTGTGCCATATTTTGATGATGCCTTGCTGGATAGAAAAAGGCTATGTGGCATTTTGAATGGATTTACTCAACAAAATTCTGCTGTTTTCTGTTTTTATATGTTCAAATTTGGTTACATAAATTAAACCACTTATTCTACCCTCATTTCATCTGTATCTGAATGGAAAATCTGCAGCTTTGATTGAAGTGAATAGAAAGTATTGTTCTGAATGGTCAATTCCAAAAGTAATACTTTCATAGTTTATCACTTTTGATATCCATCACAGTGTGAAAGATATTTTTTTATCAAGTTGACAGAAATCAACATTTCACTGGCAAAAAAGTGATAAACACAGTTATCATAAACCCACTAACTACACTGACCACCTGCTTTAAACTACTTATCATTTGTGCCACACACACAGTCCTCACCCACCACATACATAGTGTTTATCTGCCCACCAAATACCAACTCACACACCCCTACACACACTCAGCCTCAAATATGTAATAAATAAGAAAATAAGAACTCCAAACTGGTACATGTTTCACAATCACAACTTCATGTATAGGTTTAAAGCATCTGAAAATGCTTTTATTCAGCTTGTTATATTGATATATTTTTTTAGTTATGATAAACGTCCTGGAACTAATGGCAATCAAATACTTGCTAAAACTTTACTCTTTCATGTTTGTTAAATGATAGGTCATAGTTAATATTGAGGTGATGAAGTTTTAAATTTCAAGTTTATTCTCCGATATAGTATTTCCACACAGAAAACAAAATAACAAAAAAATGCATAAATTACATATGAGGAAGTGAGGTTTAGGTAGGAAAGGAAGACATTCAATCAACGTAAGTTAGAGATGTAGGAAACGTTGAGTGAAAATGCATGGGTGGGTTTGTACTGTGACATACGGAGAAAAGAGTCTGTTCTTCTTGATGTAAATAAGCCTCATCATAAACTACAAAGAGAACAAATCACCTCTTCCATTACACCAGGGAAGAGATAGCCATTGTCAACTCTGACCTGTACTGGACCACTAAATCACTACAGACATTTTCCTTAAGAGAGAGAGGTTGTCTCAGTTTCCGGTTTGATCATAATTATGTGAAACAGGAATAGACCTGATAGTGTCATACACATACTGATAGGACTTTGATCAAAATGTGTAAGTCGTCATACTTACTAATTGAGTTCTGGTCTGATTTGGGATTTTTTTTCTCATATAATTTTTATAATATGATTACATTTTCCTTTCAAAAATATGTTAATTTTTTCATGCCAAGAAAAAGTACCTGTTGCCAGACGGTGTCAAATGACAAGAAATGATTGGTGCAGTCAAAACAACATCAACAAGCATCTTTAATGCACTATACACGTAATTGCAGTCCAAGCCGAGGGAGAGGGAGAAATATAACATTGGGATACTTACATCAGCATACATTGGCTCATCCTGTGTTAATTACATGGACAAGGGATGGTAATAAGCTATCAACACAAGCTGGCTAGTATAACATACATTTCATGATGGAATAAACAAAAAAACTATTTTCAATGATATCATGCCAAACAAAACAAAACAGCACATTCCATAGAAGATTTCTAGTCAAATTAAGATTTAGGAACTATAGAAAATAACAAAAGAGCAGAAATCATAAAAGGATAAGTTATAATGTGGTAAACTAAACAAGTTAAGAAGGATCCTTGTTAGTGATATTGGATGGAACACAAGCAAAGAATTCAGTAATATTTTTGTCTGAGTGAATTTTTCTTGTGTATGTGGAACATTCTCTTTTTCATATCCATGGTTTCAACATTAAACATCTTTGACTTTCATCAATATTGTTGGAGGAGAATTATCATCAACCAAATGTCTAACTTTCTCCTGAATAATGAGACAGAAATGATCACCTTAAAGTAGGATTTTTGTTCCTGAATAAAAATATTCAGACTTTTTTTCCATTTAATAGAGCCTGAACTAACTAAACCAACAAGGTTACACTATGCTCATGTCAGGTTCTATGTAATGATTCATTCCAAATTCACATTGAGCAAATCAATAGCAAAAGTCTTTTAATTATTGTAAATGGGGAAATGTTGAAAGTAAGACAGACAAAAATACCATGATTGTTTACAAATAATGAGAGACATCTAAGTGTTGTTCAAGGTCAAGATGATGTACCTGGGACAGGATATTGCAGCACTGCTGCAGCAGGGACACTGGTGGACTTCCCAGGCTGGTAGCCAGCTGGACCCGCAGGAGCTGCTCCTTCTGAGTGGAGTTTTCCATGATTGCATGCAGCAGGGCCACCGCAGCAAACCAGTTGGACAGGCAGTCAGCACTGAACAGTCCCCCACAGAGTAGCTGACCCGCAGATATCGTGTTGGCTGTAATGGAAACGTAAGGGGTTCAGGAGATACAGCAACAGCAAAGCAATTTTGTGGATAAATGGTCTAATTTTATACATGTTGCTAATTTCTAACTCTGATTGGAGAGGAGATGTCATATGATGAGTCTGTAAAACTCTAATAAGACTTACATCCTACCTGTCATCGGACAATGCTCTCCTTTGGCTTAGAGTGACTTAAATGTAGGACGAGGGTTGAGTTGGCTAAATATGTGACATGTCATCAATAACAAGACAATTGTAGATTTCAGCTTGTCTTTCAATCATGTATTGACCTGGTCTAAGTGATATTCACCTCAATCAATATTGCTCAAAACAGTTCAGTTAATCATGGATATATCTTACGTGAAGTCTATAACTGAATATTAATAATAATCACTACCTTGGCTATTAGATTACAGGGCATTATTTATTTCTGAATTAACTGCCTTTTTATCATATTCATTCTAATCTTTTCCTGTTTTTACTTGAAGTAACTATAAAAAAAAAGTGAAATGTTCAAATACATAAAACAAATCAACCTAACCATATAAAAGTTAAAAGATAATACCACAATGGATGGATACAATCATTAAAGACCATTACAGTATTTACCATGAGAAAGGTAATATGGACTTCACAATAGATAGGTGTTACCGTCAGAGGATGTGGGTAGTAGTGTCTGGACTATCTGTGACTGGCCGATTTCATTCCTGTACAGGAAGGACTGGAAACAGTAGAGGACAGCACATCTCAGTGTGAAAGGCTGCTTCTCATTCACCATGGACATCAGCAATACAACAATGGCAGGTCTGTAATACACAAATCATTGTTAGACTGGACAGTAGAGGACAGCACATCTCAGTGTGAAAGGCTGCTTCTCATTCACCATGGACATCAGCAATACAACAATGGCAGGTCTGTAATACACAAATCATTGTTAGACTGGACAGTAGAGGACAGCACATCTCAGTGTGAAAGGCTGCTTCTCATTCACCATGGACATCAGCAATACAACAATGGCAGGTCTGTAATACACAAATCATTGTTAGACTGGACAGTAGAGGACAGCACATCTCAGTGTGAAAGGCTGCTTCTCATTCACCTTGGACATCAGTAATACAACAATGGCAGGTCTGTAATACACAAATCATTGTTAGTCTGGACATTTCTAACCCTGCTTAATCTACAACGCTTTTACAAACAATAAATAAAGTCTACATATTAAGTTATTGTTATTACAGAGTACATACCAAGGTTGAAACTGCAAAAATCAATGGAGTAAACTATTGTCATTTTGAGTAAAGACAGTTTGATGAACAAGAGGCCCAATGGGCCTGCATCGCTCACCTGGTATTAATCTCACACTTGTAAACTTAAAAGTGGACTAAAATACAGCTACAGGCAGAATATCAGTGTGACCTTGAATGTCAAACAATGACATTAGGTTGAAAGTGGGTCAAGGTCATTCATTTGAACAAATTTGGTAGCCCTGATTGCTACAGGCCAAATATCAGTACCCTGGGCCTTTTGGTTATTGAGAAGAAGTTGTTTGAAGATTTTAAGACATTTGACACCTGTGACCTTGAAAGTTGGTCAAGGT